TGTTTTATGAAGGCAACAAGACAACTAAGATGACAGGTTAGAGAGTGAACATAGATTAAGTTGTATCTAAAAGAAGGAAATAGCATTACCCTATTCAGAGTGATCTTAGGAGTAACTAAAACATTACCAATCTTATTCACCTTCACTTTGTAACCATTTGGGAGAATGACAAGTAGAGGATAAGGTAGAGTTACTATATTGGTCAACAAGGATCTATTAAAGGTCATGTTATTTGATGCCCCTGAATCTATAATCCATGAGCCAGCCTTGTTTTTGAAACATTCACATGAGAGTTTCCCAAAATTAATAGAGGAGGTGCAGACTATGATACCTGCAAAGTTTACTGATGAAGTGTTGGCATTGTCTGAGCTGTCTCTTCCTCCTCCTGATTGGAATTGATGTAGTAGGTTCACAAGTTGATTGTATTCTTCCTTTGTGAGACTCACATTTTGAGCACTGCAGTTCTCATCACCGGTATGCTAAGTATCTGTGGATGCTACATGTGCATTAGCCATTCCTCTATTTCCCCTATTGAACCCGGTACTTTGGTTCACACCAAAATTATTCCCATAGTTATAGTTTTGTTTTGGATTTTGATTGAAACTGGAAGCTTGATTGTGGCTTAGATTTGGATTCTGATTTTGATTGAAGCCTTGAGGATAACCATGAAGTTTATACCACTTCTCTTTTGTGTGTACTGATCTTTTGCAGTAATCACAAAAGGGTCTATTTCTATTGTTGTGAGAGTTATTAGGAGAGTAATTTGTCTTGAACGATGTTGTCCTGCTTGTGTTGACATTTAGGGCTGATGACTCAAGAGCTAAGTGGTTATGAGGCTTAATTCCTCTCTGTCTTTCCTCTTGGATTAGTAATGAGAAGGCTTGTAATTGTGGGAAGAGGATTCATCATGAGGATACTACCTCGAACCACAGTGTAGGTCTCATTTAGTCACATAAGGAACTGTATTAACCTTCTGTCCTGGTCTGCTTTATGCATACTTTCCCTTGCTCCACATGTGCAATTGCAGGTGCAATGAGACCTAGAAATCAGAGTAGTATGTTCTTCCCACAGCTTTTTCATTGTTGTATAGTAACCAGTAATATTAAGAGCTCCTTGGGACAAATCATTAATCTCCTTTTGAATCTGGTAGAGCTTTGTTCCATTTGACTAATCATATCGATCTTCAAGCTCTTTCCACAACTTGATTGCATCTGTCACATACTCATCACTATCCGCAATTTCCTTCGCCAAGGAATTTTAAATCCATAAAGTCACCATATCATCACATCTCTCCCACAGTCGATAGCTTGAGGGGTCTGGATCTGGCCTTTTGCAGTCCCCATTGATGAAGCCTAGTTTATTTTTCACTGATAGGGCTCTCATCACACCTCTTCTCCATGAGCGATAACCAAATCCATCAAATAGAACAGGAACTAGTACTATTCCCGAATTATTAGAGGGATGCATGTAAAAAGGACTGCTAGTGTCAACAATTGGCTGATTAGACGATTTAGCCATGGTCGACATAGACTGCTCATCATCTCCGACAGTAGCCATCTCTTACAAGGTGTAGAATTCAACTAATTAACCAACAGAAGATTCTAAATACATATCTAAAATTCTGATAGAGAATTCTAAGAGGTATGAATTTAAATCGATGAGAACAAAGTTTGCATGTGTATGATCAAAACAAAATCGAGGATGATGAATCTGGATTTAATAAATCTGGGAGAATAAATTGGAACTTCTGACCTTGCTCTGATACCATATCAAAATTTCGGCAATGACACAGTAATTTCCACCTTAGCTAAGCTGCGATTGCACCAGCATCAATGACGGAAGCTTCACACCATGAGCTTAATGGTATTCGAAGAAGAAGAAGGAGAAGATAACCAGATGAACATTCTGGAAGAAAAGGAGATTCTACTCCATTCATTCAATTACTCAACTGAGTGGAACTCCTCCCACTATATACAAGAGTGTAAGGACAAAGCTAACTAAGTAAAACCAACTGACAGCTGTCACTACTCTTGACTGGTGGTACTTAGCCACTAAGCTAACTAACTAACGCTAACAAAACTAACAAAGCTGATTATATAAGCTAAAATGAAAAATAATTAATCTTAACAAAAGGATTAATGAAAACATATTTGAGAATGTTATTTTCTTTGTATGAAGCCAGAGAAAATATAATGGTTACGAATAGTGTGCATGGAGAAGACTTGAAAAATGAGCGAGTCATTAGGGAATTGAAAAAAATACGATTCAAGATATACTTAAGTTATGGATTATATTGAAGAAGCCTAGTTTATTTTTCACTGATAGGGCTCTCATCACACCTCTTCTCCATAAGCGATAACCATATCCATCAAATGGAACAGAAACTAGTGTTATTCCCGGATTATCATAGGGATGCATGTAAAAAGGACTGCTAGTGTCAACAATTGGCTGATTAGGAGATTCAGCCATGGTCGGCATAGACTGCTCATCATCTCCGATAGTAGCCATATCTTACAAGGTGTAGAATTCAACTAATTAACCAACAGAAGATTCTAAATACAGATCTAGAATTCTGATAGAGAATTCTAAGAGGTATGAATTGAAATCGATGAGAACAAATTTTGCATGCGTATGATCAAAACAAAATCGAGGATGATGAATCTGGATTTAACAAATCTGGGAGAATAAATCGGAATTTCTGACCTTGCTCTGTTACCATATCAAAATTTCGGCAATGAAACAGTAATTTCCACCTTAGCTGAGCTGTGAGTGCACCAGCACCAATGGCGAAAGCTTCACACCATGAGCTCAATGGTATTCGAAGAAGAAGAAGGAGAAGATAACCGATGAACATTCTGGAAGAAAAGGAGATTCTACTTCATTCATTCAATTACTCAATTGAGTGGGACTCCTCCTAGTATATAAAAGAGTGTAACGACAAAGCTAACTAAATAAAACCAACTGACAGCTATCAGTACTCTTGACTGACTGTACTTAGCCACCTATCTAACTAACTAACGCTAACAAAACTACAAAGTTGATTATATAAACTAACGGAAAATAATTAATCTTAACAAAAGGATTAATGACAACATATTTGAGAATGTTATTTTCTTTGTATGAAGCCAGAGAAAATATAATGGTTACGAATAGTGTACATGGAGAAGACTTGAAAAATGAGCGAGTCATTGGAGAATTGAAAAGAATACGATTCAAGATATACTTAAGTTATGGATTATATTGAAGAAGCCTAGTTTATTTTTCACTGATAGGGCTCTCATCACACCTCTTCTCCATGAGTGAACCAAATCCATCAAATGGAATAGGAACTAGTGTTATTCCCGGATTATCAGAGGGATGCATGTAAAAAAGACTGCTAGTGTCAACAATTGGCTGATTAGGAGATTCAGCCATGGTCAGCATAGACTGCTCATCATCTCCGACGGTAGCCATCTCTTACAAGGGGTAGAATTCAACTAATTAACCAACAGAAGATTCTAAATATAGATCTAGATTTCTGATAGAGAATTCTAAGAGGTATGAATTGAAATAGATGAGAACAAAGTTTGCATGCGTATGATAAAAACAAAATCGAGGATGATGAATCTGGATTTAACAAATCTGGGAGAATAAATCGGAACTTCTGACTTTGCTCTGATACCATATCAAAATTCCGGCAATGAAACAGTAATTTTCACCTTAGCTGAGCTGCGAGTGCACCAGCATAAATGGCGGAAGCTTCACACCATGAGCTCAATGGTATGAAGAAAGAGAAGATAACCAGATGATCATTCTGGAAGAAAAGGAGATTCTACTCCATTCATTCATTTACTCAATTGAGTGGAACTCCTTCCACTATATACAAGAGTGTAAGGACAAAGCTAACTATGTAAAACCAACTGACAACTGTCACTACTCTTGACTGATTGTACTTAGCCACTAAGCTAACTAACTAATTAATGCTAACAAAACTAACAAAGCTTATTATATAAACTAATGGAAAATAATTAATCTTAACAAAAGGATTAATGACAACATATTTGAGAATGTTATTTCCTTTGTATGAAGCCAAAGAAAAGATAATGGTTACGAATAGTGTACATGGAGAAGACTTGAAAAATGAGCGAGTCATTGGGGAATTGAAAAAAACACGATTCAAGATACACTTAAGTATGGATTATATTGAAGAGCTCAAGGCTTTAAACACCACGACCACGACCGTACGTTGATGAACTTGTCAAATCTTTACAAATCGTCGAGAAAAGAATAAATAAGTCCAAGCAAATAATTAAGTTTTAGACGAGAAAGATGAAAAATGGACTCTCCTCAAAAAGGCACTAGAGGAATATTTAAGAAAGAAGACCTTAAGTTCGTGATATCACAAGATCAGATTGTGGATTTCTTCATCAAATTATTAAAGATTGATGTCTTAGAATGTTGGAATGATGAGTCCAGTTTAAATGGGGTTTTTTTTTTTAAATAAGCTAGATCTAATTCTAAGTACATGGTTTTCTTAATTCATGTAATAGAAAATTAATGGAAGAATGCATGTGTATATGTATTTATGAAAAGCTAGGGAGAGGCATGGAGTTAACATGATACATGTATTAGAAGAATACACGGTATGTTCTTTCTCTACTTGTCTCTTCAAGAAAATATATTAATTGAGAGTGTTCTTCAATTCCTCGATCTCAAACCTTCCCAACAAGTTTAAATAAGCTGACAAAATTCTTTACCTCTACGTTATGTTGGACAAGCCTTTTGGTCCATCTCCAGAAAACAAAAAGAACAAAGAACAAAACAAAAAAGGAACAACAAATACAGACAGCGTAGTTTCCTTTTATAAAGAGCATTACATTTGGTACACCTAAACTTCAAGAAAATTATTTCTGATCAGAAAATATAAACTAGCTGAATTAAGCATCTTTATAGTTGTGTGAGCACAAGCATGCGTACTTCGGAAAAGTTCAAGGTTTAAGAAAGGAAAGAAAAATAGTAAATTAACAATATCCTTTTGTTGATTTAGATCTTTTAACTGAAATAAATATGGAGTACATATATCAAACAAAAAAAATAAAAGAGGAAGTTGTATGGAGGGAATCGAAGTACCTCTTTGATGGATTCTAGCAAGTATATTTGATTAACATATTAGAAAGGAAAAAGCTTCTCTTTGATAAAGGGTCATATGGGAGTTCAGAAAGGATCTGATCGTAGATATAGACTTGACGAACTACAAGGTTTTCATCATGGACTCATGAGGTGGTTCCATCCCTAACCTAAGCTCAAGGTCCAATTCTGAAACAGGATTTAGCTGCATGCCCTTTTCTTCTACTTGCCTGTCCACACAATTGCTTGCTTCTTTAATTAATGGAGTCTTTGTGAATAAAGGTAATTGCAAAACATCTCCAATAATCACTTCATGATTATGATCATCATAATTCACCTTATTATGATCATTTTCTTCAGATGTATTAACACATGGCCTTTTCGAGGGGCTACTAATTGTTTCATTGTACGATACTTCATGTTGCAACGAGTCCTCATTTGAAGGAGCCGGAGGAGGAGGAGGAAGAGGAGGATTAACGGAGTTGGTGATGTCCAAAGAAAGCAAGTTTTCACTGGAAAATTCTCTAAGCCTGGCTCTATCTTTTCTGTGGATATTCATGTGTCCACCTAGTGCTTGTGCATTAGAGAAACCTCGTTTACAGAAACTACACCTATAAAACTTAACATGCCCTAAACCTAGTTCGTCGGATTTCTCAGAGTTTGAAGGATCAATCTCCATAGAAATGAAAGGGCAGTAGGGTTGTGAAGAGGGGATGAAAAGATACTTGGAATAATATGGAGAGGAGGTCATGGTCGGCGTAAAATGAGATTTTTATAATTGAACAACAAAATACAGAACAAGCACGCTTGATTTCGTATTTAAGATGATTAACAACTATGACTATAATTTCATATTGTATTACGCAATTATCTTTCTACCAGCAACTTGACACAAATGTCCTATCCACAAATTTTAATCATTGTTAAGTTTCCTTTTTATTTTATTTTTTTTGGATGTAGGGTGGCCGAGATAACAGGATGCACAAGGGAAGGGTTTTGAGAATCTTAGCTTGTTTCTTGTTTTTTTTTTTTTTTTTTTGTTGCTAAATCGAAGAATTGCGTTAATTAAAAGACGGAATTATAAATATTGACACCCCCCCCCCCGCCCCCCGTTGATTTTCATGCACTTAGATTTGATGTAATTGGCACTAGCTCCTTTCATTCTGAACAATGTTTGTAATTCCGTCTTTTAATTAATGCAATTCTCAGATTTAGCACACAAAAAAAGACAAGCTAAGATTCTCAAAACCCTTCCCTTGTGCATCCTGTTATCTCGGGGGGAGGGGGCGTCTTCAAAATACAAGATGGGTTGTGATGGCGATCCAATGTTTGATTTTCCATATTTAGCCAAAGCGCCAGTCACTCCATTGCCTTCTCTAAGCGTGTGCACGTTGAGCTCTTGGATCATCGACCTACAGGATGAAATAAGATGTGAGTATTTTGGGCAGTCAGTTTGTAGGATTTTGAGTAATACCTGTGAGTCTGTTTCAACAATTAGGGGATGGATGTTTTTGCTAAGAGAAATGGTTAATCCATGGTATAGTGCTAGAAGTTCCTCTTGTAAGGCATTTGTGCATGATAAGTGTTTTGCATAGCCATAGATCCATTGTCCTGAGGTGTCGCGGAAGACTCCCCCTGCTCCTCCATGATGCTTCGTTGGATCATAAGAACCATCAATGTTAAGTTTGTAGTGAGTTGGAGGTGGTTTGTGCCGGTATGTTGTTTTTCTAGCGTCTATTATTTTTTTTTCTCCAGTGTTGTTAGTAAGGTATGTTATTTGTGTATCTAGTGAGATAATAGAGGTGGTGTATATTGGTTGGTTTAATTGGTTGTAATGGTTGTTATTGCGATTTAGCCAGATTTGCCATAAAATGATAGGTGTTAGGATAAGGGAGGGTATAGAGATTTGGGAGTTATTTTAATAAGTGTATAAGAGGTGCATAATTTGTGCAACCATTCAGTGAAGTTGGATGAGGGTGTTTTTATTCGTAAATGGTGCCATAATGTATGGGCTAGTTTGCAATGTAGGAAGATATGAGGTATGTCTTCCTTAGTGTCATGGCAATTTGGGCAGTAGGGGTTATTAATAATTTTTCTTTGGAAAAGGAAGGTTTTTGTTGGGTAGTTTTTCATGAGTTAGTAGCCAGAAGAAACATTTTATTTTTGGTAAGGTTGTTAGTTCCCAAATCCAATTGTGAGTGAATTTGGTTTTGTAGTGATTGTTTTGGTATAGAATGTGGAGATAGGCAGAAGAGGAGGTGAAATTACCATTCTGAGAAGGGTGCCAGTATGGGGTATCTACGTCTTGGTGATTTATAAGAATGGGGGTGTTACTGATAAGGGAAAGAATATTCGGTGGTAATATAAATAAGAGATTAAAGAGATTCCAGTTTGAGTTGGATATAATAGAAGATAATGATTTATTTAGTTCGTGTTTAGGTATAGGGCCTTGGATTAGGTGATGGAGCGAGTTATTATTTGCAATCCAATGATCATTCCAAAGGCTAATGCTCTTACTATTGGCCACGTTCCAGCTTGTGCCTGAGTGGCAGTAGGTTTTTATTTTTGACAAGCTTTTTCATATAAGAAGAAGTTATTAGTTTTTTGGTATTGTGGATCGTATTTGGCAGCTAGTATATTGCTCTAAATTGATTTGCCAGTGTGTGTGTAGCGCCAAAGTAGGCCAGTAAGTATGGATTTATTTTTATATGTTAGTTTTTGAATTCCTAATCCTCCTTCTAACTTAGGAGATGTACATTTATCCCAATTTATTAGATGAATTTTCCTTTTATGTTCAGTTGTGCCCCAAAGGAAATTCCTTTGAAGCGATTTATTTTTGTAATGATTTTGGGAGGTAGTAGGTTGATTTGCATTGCATGAATGGGGATTGTATTTAGGACTGATTTTATGAGGGTAGTTCGTCCTGCTAAGGTGAGGAATTTACTTTCCAACCTGAAAGTTTTGTGGTTATTTTATCAATTATGTATTGGTAGTCTATGATTTTAGGTTGATTTGCGGTGATTGGAAATCCTAGGTATTTGTCGAAGCTGGTGGTAATGGGGATGTTCAGGGATGTAGAGATGGAATGGCTAAGTGAAGGGTTGACATTATTAGAGAAGAATAATTTAAATTTGTGAAAATTGATCCGTTGGCCAAATTTTGCACTTAACTGGTTAAATATTTCAATTATGGTAGATGTGTTAGACGTGGTTGCTTGGGCTAGTAGAATGAGATCATCAGTGTACCTTACATGTGAGAGTGGATGTGCATTCCTGTGTAGTCTTATTGGAGTCCATTCACAAATGTCTACATAATGTTCAATTATTCGGGAAAGCGATTCCATGCAAATTATGAATAGGTAAGGCGATAAGGGATCCCCTTAACGAATGCCCCTAGAAGGTTGAAAGAATGGGGTTGGAGTGCCATTGATAGGTATGGATATAGAGGAAGTTGTGATGCATGACATTATGAGATTGATTAGGGGTACAGAAAATCTTAGGTGGTGCATAGAAAAGTTAATGAAGGACCACTTTAAGCGATCACAGGCTTTCTCTAGGTCAATATTCAACATCATGTTGCCTATTTTACTATGTTGATTTTTGAAAGAGTGGATGATTTCCTGGACGAGGATAGCATTGTCAGCTGCTCTACGGCCTTTAAGAAGCTGCTTTGTGTTGGATTGATGAGTTTGGGTAGGAGAGGTTTTATTCTATTAACAATTATTTTAGTAATAATTTTATAAGTTGTGTTGCAGAGGTCAAATGGTCTATATTGGGTGATAGATTCCGGATAGGTAGTTTTTGGTATTAAGATGATGTTAGTTTTATTAATTTCTGTAGGAATTGAGGAATTATGGAATGCATGTTGACAGGTGTGGATAACCGCTTGTTTGGTTTCAGTCCAAAAATTTTGAAAAAAGATGGGGTGTAACCCATCTGGGCCTAGTGCTTTAAGGGGTTTGAATGAGTATACTACCTTAGTGATCTCTGCGATAGATAATGGACGATTGAGTGTTTGTATGTCCACCTCAGTGAGTGAATTAGAGAATGTGGGTATATATTCTTTTTGGCACTGGGTTAATTGGGTTGTAAGTAAATTTTTGTAATATTTAGGATTATATCATGAATGTCCTTGGTGTCATAGGTCCAATTTCCAATTGAGTCATATAAGCTGAGAATTCTATTACTTCTTATTATTATTATTATTGTGGAGAGGTGAAAGAAGGTCGTATTAGCATCACCTTCGTTTAACCATTGGACCCGCGATTTTAGTTTCCAAAATTTTTCCTTACTCCTTAACAAATTATTGAATTCAGTGATTAGCTCATTCTCAAGGTTGTAGTGAAAGGATTTTTATTGTGTGGGTCCATATGTTGTAACCATTTCAGTCTAGCTAATAGGATATTTTTCTTATAAAAGATATTCCCAAAAGTGTGGATATTCCAATGTTTTGTAATTTCAGTGAAATTTTTTAGACCATTAAAATAATCTTGTTCCTCCAGCCAGGAGTGAGAAACAATATCTTGGAATTGAGGGTGTTGGATCCACATTGTTTCAAATTTAAATTTTGGCTGGGGTTTTGAGAAATGTTTAATTAGATTTAGTATTAGAGGACAATGGTCCGAGTGGATGCGAGGTAAGTGTTTAATAGTAGAATCTTGGAATAGTTCGAGCCATTTGTTATTGGCAGAGAATTTATCTAATCTTTCCATTATGATTGAGTAGAATTATTTTTATTGTGATTAAACTTGGGTTTGTTAGTCCACGTAAATCTAGGGCCTGAAAAACCTAGGTCTATCATATTAATGTTACTAAGGCATTTATTGAAGGTGGAGGACCTTTTAAAATTTATAGGTGTACCACTAAATTTTTCTTTAGATGTAGAGATTTCAATGAAATCACCACATAATAGCCATGTACAAGAGTGAGTATCATGCACTAATTGTAAATTATTCCAAAGCAGTTTACGATTTTCAAAATTGTTACTAGCATAAATTAGAGACAAAAGCCAAGGAGGAGATTTATTTACCTGGACTGATGCGTGTATTTCTTGGCTTGTGAATGCCACTGGATCGACCATCAGTTCATGGGCTCGCCATAATAGCACTATTCCCCCAGATTGTCCTTGTGCTGCCACTTGAATTAAGTCTGTGTAGTTGAATTTTGCAAGGAGGTCTGAGTGATCTTCCATCTTTGTTTCAGTGAGACATAGGACAGATGGGTTGTTCCAAGAGAGTAAAAAGTGTAGATTCCGGCGGAATTCCTGATTGTGAGCTCCAAGGATGTCTTGGGTTGCTCCCCTCCGGAGCTAGTGATAATTCCAAGTGCATTAACTGATGTGGTGGGTTGTGCAATGCTGCAGGTAGTAAGTTATCGTGCAAAGTGGGGATCATGAGTATCATATATCTCTCCTCCAAGGAGAAGGGATCTAGTCGAATATTCAATAAGGTTTTCTGGAGAGTTGGTGGGATGAAGATAAGATAGTTTTTTTCTATGTTTCCTGGCATGGATATCGTCAGGAAGTCGTTCAGAATCATAGACTCGATGAAGGTCTCCGGCATTTCGTTGTCTTCTTCTGCATGTTGGTGATGATTTCCTGTGGTGGGGGTGAGTTGGTAATCTGAGTATTGATCACCTGTTGATGGCTTGGTCTTGGCAGTGGAGGTTGTGAGATCTCCATAGGGTTTTGAGGAGTTAACCAAGGCCTCCAGTTGCTTTGTAGGGGTGTACTCCAGTGTAAGGGATGATAGAGTGCTTGGGTTTGCCTTTGTTGGTATTGTGTGATAATT